CGCGCGGGGGTCCCCGCGCCAAGTGGGAGCCGGAGCGCGAGCGCGAGCGCGGCTGCAGCCGGCGGCATGGCGAGCACGGCCTCGGAGATCATCGCCTTCATGGTCTCCATCTCCGGCTGGGTGCTGGTGTCCTCCACGCTGCCCACCGACTACTGGAAGGTGTCCACCATCGACGGCACGGTCATCACCACCGCCACCTATTGGGCCAACTTGTGGAAGACGTGCGTCACCGACTCCACCGGCGTCTCCAACTGCAAGGACTTCCCCTCCATGCTGGCGCTGGACGGTCTGCATCCCCCTTGGCCCCCCGCCCCCGGGCCTCGCTCCTCCCTGGCTCGCGGGCGGGGGCGACCCCTCGATCTCCCCAACCCCCCCGCAGTACCCCGGGACCGGGCTCCACCGAGCGTCCGCCCCGCTCTGCCCTGGAGCCTGAGGAGGTCGGGGAGAGTCCCCAGCGCCCCCTTTCCTTCCGTTCCTGGGCATCTGTCCTGAGGGGGGCAGCCATACGAACGGGGATCCCAGACCGGGGTGGGGGGTGATGCAGGGGCATACAGGCAGGCTTGGGAGGTGTGCGTGACCCCAAGAGTCGGGGTGGGGTGGGGTGGGGAGAGCAGCTTTGGCTGCAGGATCCCCTTCTCTGGGCTACTGTGGGGCGCGGAGTTCCAGTGAGGAGCTGGTCTCCCCCAACAGCACTACCCCAAAGAGTTGCAGTCCGATTAAAATAGTACCACATTGTCAAAGGCCCAGAGGGACCGTCCTGAACTCCCTTCGAACCTTTGTTAGTGACTTTCAGAACTAGACTAGAGAAAAGATAACATATTGCTGGGGGAATTTTTCTCTCCGCGACACTTCCTCCAAGTTTTAGGAAACGAGTTTTTGTGTCACCTTTGTCTGCACCGCAGAGGGTAAAGAATCCCGAGTTCGAAGTCAGTGCGGCCCTCTGTGGCTGTGCTGTCTGCTTCTGCTGTTCTGTATTGTTCTTGTTTGCCAAATTTTATACTTTATTGCATTGGAGCAACAGGTAGGCGTTCCCGTAGGAAACTGGCCCGGTGTTAGTTTCCAGAGCGGTAGATGACACCGGGTCACAGTGATTGTTAAATTTTTAGGGCCCTTTCTTGTACGATTTATGGACACGGACTTAGAGGAATCCCAGGTGAAACTTTAGGGGATTCATTTACATTACTCCTAGATTTGGGGTGTTTTATGGCACTGCAAGCTTTTATTTGCAGAGCTGAGTAAATAGAAGACAAGATTAATTCCCTTGAGATGGTGCTTGCCACGAAAAGCAAACTGTTGCTCTATGTGGTGTTTGATGGAACCTCCTAAGGGGAAAGACACCAGGTCTGTGTCCTGTTGCATGAAACAGGCAGCTGGGAGCTGCGCTTGCCATTGGATTGCTGTGGAATTTCCTGAACCCCACCAAGGACATCCAGGTAGATGCTTTGAACAGGGAGGATATTGTTTCTGTGGTTGACACTCAGGAGTATGGGACTAACAGTTACTGCCCTAAGCACATTCTTTTGTTGTAACTGTATTGTGCCTGAGATCATACGTTTCACAGGGACGGTTTCTGCGATAGGACAGTTGGGGGACAGGAGAGAGAGACATAAATGCTTCATGAAAATGACTGGGTACAGACTACTGGGATTTTCACATTTCGCATCTGAGGTAAGAGTGCAGGCAGGGGGCAGGCGGGATTGTGAGGAGGAAGGAGGTCACAGCCCTCAACAGTGAAATGCTAGTCCTCAAAGAAGAGGGCGAGCTATATACAACCCCACTTGCAAAATGGCCTTCCCGGTGTGCTCACGTGTCTAGAAAAACATGTGGCATCATACAACCCATTGTTCTGAAATGCCTTAAAATGAGTAATGTTTCTTTCCAAGGTCAGCAGGTAAAGAAGTAATTCTCTTTAACAAATTCATAGCATTAATCAGCCTGGACAGACCGGCTTATCTAACCGTTTACTGATTATTGGACATTGGCCACTTTTCAGATTTTCACGGGTGTTAGTGCTTTAATGAAAATCTTTGTATTTGTCTCTTGGTGCATATGTATATTTCTATAGATACAACAAATGGTATTCACAGGGCAAATATTCATTTCAGTTCTATATTGCCAAATTCCATTCAACCAAGAGTCTATGAGAATACCTGTTTTCTCACGTTCTCACTGCCTTTTTTCCCCATTTTCGTGGATGACATATCATTTTAATTGGCATCATCGGTTAGCTGTGGCTTGGGCCATCTTAGCATGCACTTACTGGTATTCTCCCCCTCTTTGGCGAATTGCATCTAGTGCCAGAGGTTCTGTTGTTCCTTTTGGTTGAAATAATCTATAATTCTGGAAGCCAATCTTTGGTTGGCTATAGACGCTGCCATCTTAGCCCACTGTTCATCTGTTAAATATATGATGTCTTTTCTAAAGGAAAGTTTGCAGTGTGTACTCTAGTCAGGTGTAGTAGTAGTTATTCTGCTTGCCCATCACATTGTGGCATTCACTAGCCCAAGTCATAAGCTGACTTTATTTTTTTTTAAAGGTTTATTTATTTATGCATACATAACTGGGGTTCAGGCCAGAGGTGTGGGGTGGGGGATGAGGGGATTCACCAGAGACAGAGTGGGGAGCAGACCAAGTGAGTGGATCAACAGAAACATATAGCTGAGGGAGCAGTGGGCAGGTCATGAGAGGTTTGCTGCGCCATGTGGGTCACCTCCCTGGCCAGGAATTAAACTCATGCTGAAGTGTCTGTGGCCAGCTTCTTAGTGCTGTGCTTTAACCCATTGCACCACCAGGGAGAGCTGAATAAGCTACTTTTATTGTTTCTCCCAGAGTAACATTTTTGGGGACTCAATCACACAACTACATTTTTCTACAGAGAGGAATGGATTCCCGTCAGCTTACAAAAGGAATGCTCCAGAATAGGCCCTCTGCTTGAGTACTCCCAGGATGCTGGGGCTGATACCGTGGGGAGCGGGAGGGGGAACCTGGCATTACCTTTGAAATGGCGGGAGAAGGCCACATTCCCATGGGATGTGGTGGCCACTGATCTGAGCAGGCCGCCCCTGCCCTTGCACCTAGCAAAAAGCTCTAGCTTGAGAATGTGCAAGGGGCTGAGGACTTGGATTCTCTCATGCCTAGTCTTAGGTGGGAAAAGAAGCCTTCTGCATGCAGCCTTCTGCATGCAGCCTTCTGCATAAGTCGTTATTCTGAACTTTCTCCCTGAGGTCCAGGCTGACTCCTCACTGTCAGGAGGTACCACTGTCCCTCAGTTTTCCCTAGAAGAAAAGTGAGGCGGAGAGTGTTACATGTCTGCAGTTAGTGTTATGCCCTGTTAGGACTCCAAGCTAATTTCTGCATGGACTTACTGTTGTATCATGAAGGAAAGCTTTGATGAGTTTCTTCCCACTCACCAGAATTTATATTGTGGATTCTGTGAAGTAGGCACTGTGAGTGCTGATTTCCAGCTGAGAAAATCCAGCTCAGAGAGGTAATGCAGTGGAATCATGGGACACAGCAGCGAATAAGCCAGAGCTGAAATTCACAGTTCACGCCTGCCCCTGGCATTCTTTCTTCAAAGGACTGGCAACCAGAACACCAAGCTACCAGCAGAGAGAAGCATGTTCTTTTTCTCCCCTTCAGTCCAGCAGCCAGCACATGTGCGACTAGGGAGTTGTCTCCACCAAGTGGATATTTTCATTTTTGCTGGTTTGAGATGGAAAACAAGGTGTACATCATTTGGAAAACACTTAACCTTGACGGGACCGCCTGCAGGTTGCCTCTAACAGACTACCTAAAATTTAAAGGAGTGTGTTTTACTAATGGAAGATTTCACAGTTGAATGAGCTGGTGATTTCTGTTTATTGCTAACCTATATTCCTTTCAAAGCAGCGTTTGAACTTCGGCTGAGAATCATTTCCAGCCTGGTTGTTTTAGTAAATGCCATCTATATTTTTTCTTAGTGGGCATGTTTGCCATTTCTTCCAAGAGAATTCACTATAAATTATATACTTCAGAGAACTTCTAAGTAAATATGTTCATGCCTCAGCACCTTAATGTGTTAATTAGCTATTAACGGTGTCAGTAAATTAGACCTGTCAAAGATAATGGCCTCCTTGACTAGGTTTTACGACCACTTCACTGGATGGCGCTACCCTCCGGGACTGTTGGCAAGCAAGGTTGCAAAAGATAAACTCTGGAAGGCTTTGTAGGAAGTTACCTAAGCCTGAGTCTGGGGTATTTTAAGGACTGGTAGCCCCTGATTTACAAAGCTTGGGTTTACCAACACCTCTTCATAACTAGCAGGGGGTGCATTGTGTATCCCCCCAGAGCCCCAATCCCTGCTTGTTCCCAGTTTTAGAAAATGCAGCCACAGGGCCCTCCCTGGTGGCACACGGGTTAAAGTGCAGCACTATGAAGCTCTCCGCAGCCGCTGCAGCAGGAGTTCAATCCCCGGCCAGGGAGGTGACCCACATGGCGCAGCAGACCTCTCCTCACTTGCCCACTGCTCCCCTCAGCAGTGTATTTCAGTAGATCTGCCTGTTTGCCCCTCACTCTGTCTCTGGTGAGTCCTCTCACCCTCCCCCCACCTCTGGCCTGTACCCCAGTTTCTTGTATACATAAATAAGTCAATCTTAAAAGAAAATGTAGCCGCTGGCTATACGGGTGAGGTGTCAAGTTCTTCTGGACATGCAATAAATTAGCAAGCTATTGCTGCTGTTAATTCCAGAAAGAGGTTCCTCACCCTCCAAGTCAGAGTTCTGGTTGGTACCATCAGAATCTGCCTGTTCCATCTCTCCCCTGGTACTTGTGCTAAGGGCAAAGCTGGCCCAGCTGCTGTAATGGGAACTCAGAAAAATATATGAGCTGTGGTTAAATATAGTTTAAAGTCGACTCTTATTTTCCTAGTCATGTCAAAGATTGAGTGCGTGCACTGGCATGCCAACCGCTCTTCACCCTCTGGGAAAATGCACCTTCTGTTCCAAATGATCAGATTTTAGGACTTAACTGCGTGCCTGGCTCCTGCATTTTCTGTTCTAAAGCCTCTAAGATTCCTAAACTAAGTGCAATTTATGGTGCACGATAAAGTATACTTTAAAAAAAAGCACATACTGTAAAGGTTATATCGCACACACTGTTTTTGTCTATTTAGCGGCTGCAGTCAGGAACAGCTAAAAGGCTTCTCTCTCTGTACATCTGCCTGTGTCTGGCTTCTGGCTGGGGCACTTGTGGCCTGATGTTTAAAATAGACCTGGTCTGTGTTTGGCAGCAGGGACCCAAGTAACCCTGCAACACGATTGTTACCCAGATAAGCCTCTGTTTTCCCGTTTTGCTAAAAATGAGTTTCTTTTGCTGTGTCTGGTAGCCTCACCAACATTGAAATTATATTCTGTGTGGAAGTAGTTCGTACTTGACTAGAAAGATCAATGTCCGCGTGCTGTGCATTTACTGGGGCTGAAATTTGCTACAATTCAATAGACCATCTCTGCCTTCTTCAAATTGACTAAAAATAGGATTAAAACTTAAATTTTCATTCTTTCCCAAAGAAATATAGACCAGAGGCCACCTGCCAGCATTATTCTGTGTTTCGGATTATTGCCATTGTAGAATTGTTATTTATTATGGGCTTCACCTCGACAAAATTAATAAATGACTTGCTGTCTTGGCATTTATGAGGTTTTTCAAATGAGAAAGTTTAATTCCAGACACACATCTGATGTCTGTGTATGTTCACTGGCTAAATAAGCATTTCTTGTCCCTGTAGGTGTCCTCGCTATTTCAGGTTGAAAAAGTCTCTTTCAGATTGAAATGAAAATGATAAATGTTGTATTTGTTTAAATTAAATTCATTAAAATTTGCTGGTGTCCAGACAAAAGCAGGGCTGAAATTTGCAATCGCTCTGACCATGCAAATAAAAGTATGTGGCCAGGAAAATGAGGGGTGTGGAAGATTCCAAACAAATCAGCATGACAAGCTGGTAGGGTCCTTTGGAAGCATCTGTTTGTGTGCAGACGTTTCCCTTCACAATGATATTCTTCTAGTACACAATCAGTGCTATTTTACAACCCAGTTTTATTCTAGGTGTCCTGAAAATAATGTCCTTAAAATATTTCTTGATTTACATTCTTCCTGCTTCATGATATTCCCACTGGTCTCATTTCCAAGCTTTTACCCACATTGGAAGCCCTGACCTTGGGAAATGCTGCTGCCTCATGACACGTTTTTTTTTTTTTTTTTAAAGATTTATTTATTTATGCATACAGAACTGGGGTACAGGCCAGAGGCTCAGGGGCGGTGAGAGGCTTCACCAGAGACAGAGCGGGGAACAGAACAGGCAGATCAACAAAGTACACTGCTGAGGGGAGCAGTGGGCAGGTCAGGAGAGGTCTGCCACACCATGTGGTCACCTCCGGGGCAGGCGGGAATCGAACTCATGTGGAAGCGGCTTTGGATTCTCATTGCTGTGCTTTAACCCGCTGCGCCACCAGGGAGGGCCTCATGACACGTTTTAATGAGCAAAGCCATTGAAACATCTATTTGAAAGGCCCGACATGCAAAGGAGTAAGAGCACTGAGAGAAAGCAGGCCGATTTCTCACGGAAGGCTGCAGGGATGCTGTAGCAGGACACACGGAGTACTCTGCTTCTTACTCATTTGTAGCCGATGTATCGTTTGTTGCCCCGGTTTCCTGCTCTCTATGTACAAGAATAATAAGTCAGAGGTCCGCCCTGAGACTGTGCCTAGTTCCAGCTGAGAAGTGTGGGACATAGGGCAGACACCCATGTAGATAAACGTGCTCTCCTTTCTTGCACGCATGCTCACCAGAATGCTTAGTTTCTCAGAAGCAGAACAGCCCTTCGGCAGGACAGTGTAAAGTGAGTCTGCTTCTCTGGATAGCCGATGTTCACGTACTGCCCTGCTCTGATTGCAGGTTACATCCAGGCGTGTAGAGGGCTGATGATCGCGGCTGTCAGCCTGGGCTTCTTTGGGTCCATATTTGCCCTGTTTGGAATGAAGTGTACCAAGGTCGGGGGCTCGGATCAAGCCAAAGCTAAAATTGCTTGTTTGGCGGGGATTGTGTTCATCCTGTCAGGTGAGTAGTAACTTTCTTCCAAACAAGGCACTTCCAGATGATAAGGAAGTAACACTGACCCTGCTTCTTCCCCGTGCATACTTTTTAGGGCTGTGCTCAATGACCGGCTGTTCCCTATATGCAAACAAAATCACAACAGAATTCTTCGATCCTCTCTACATGGAGCAGAAGTAAGTGCTGTTCTCAATCTGTGTTACTAGCTCAGAGGATCTGTGTGTACAGTAATCTTCTAAATTAAGGTAGATAAAACTGTGATGAACATGAGACATGCAGATAGAGGGTATTTGATGACCTCATTTGATTTAAACATTATATGTGTTCCATAGGCAAAAGATACATTTAATTATTGCCCGAGCATTAGTAAATTTGATGTCATGTCTCTAAATCAAGGCATAGGATTTAGTACTTTATCATAAAATTGTCATCAAGTAGAAGAAAAGGGGGAGGAGGTCTCCCTGGTAGTGCATGGCGTTAGATCTCAGCACTATGAAGCTATCAGCGGCCACTGCAGCACGAGTTCGAACCCCAGCCAGGGAGCTGACCCACATGGCGCACCAGACCAATCCCGTCCCTCCCGCTGCTCCCCTCAGCAGTATTTGCCAGTAGAGCTGCCTGTTCTGCTCTCCACTTTGTCTCTGGCAAGTCCTCTCCCCTGCTCCCATACCTGCACCCCAATTCTTGTGTACATAAATAAATGAAAATAAATCTTTACGAAAATAAATAAGAAAAGGGGGAAGAGTGTTAAGTTGGGGAAGGAGAAGTGACCAAGTGGACAACAGAAGACGGAAAGCTTGGCTTGATTTTGTCCACCAGCCATGTTTGCCAAAGGCAAGTTTGTGGGCCAGTTGGCTTAAATTTCCTCTCTTCATTATTGCCTTAACAAGCAACACCTAGTGAACCTTTATGGACAAACTGTACAGTTCTTGGAGGGATTGTGGACTGGTGCAGCTATTCTGGAAAATTACGGAGATGCTTCAGAAGATGAAAAGTAGAAATTCCATGTGATCCAATTAATCCATTTCTGGGAATTTACCCAGAGAATGACAACATGCTAATTCAAAGAGCTACTTGTAGTCCCTTGCCCATCACACCGTTATTCTCAGTGACCAAGCCAGTACCAATGACAAATGCTAAGATCAAGAATATATATTCAGCTCTGCAAAAAAAGGTGAAATCCTGCCATTTGCAACCGCAAGCTCCAACCCAGAGGGGATTCTGCTTAGTAAAATAAGCCAGATAAGCATCATCTGACTTTTGTCATCTATGAGATATAACGAAAATCGATGTGCTAGATAGAACAAAAATAAATGTTTAAGTTCTAAGAGTAAACCTAGTGTTTACCAGAAGGGAAGAAGCAAAGGGGGCCAATTGTTTGGGGGGAAGGACAGAATTAGTCTTGTAGGGGCGAACAGAATGCAGTAAATACAGATGCTGACTTATCATGCTGTACACGGGAAACTAATGTCATAAGCTAATGTTGCAGTGTGCCTCAATGAAAACTCTATTTAAAAAAGAAACTATGCCTGAAGCAGGGTTGTTTCATTTTGTTTTTTAAATGCTCTAGCGTGGCTCAGATATCCAGATGTGACTGGTTTTGGTTACAGGTGAATGCTTTGGCATTTAGAGATCAGTTCATTTGTGGTTATTGTTTTTTAGGCTGTTGCCTTTTATGGTCCCCCTAGGCTCATTTCTTTGTATGGAGAAGCCTGGGATTCCAAGCCAGAAATAAGTATGTCAAATATTTTGTCTTCATGAGTTTTACCCCATACCGCGTACAAACCCGTATGTTTATGGATGTGACCTGCTATCGATGTGACCGGTGATTCCCTTTCAATCTCTGGTCAAATATTAGAGAATTTCAAAAAGGGAGTTCTTAAAATGGCTTGTCAGTTGTGCGTTACTTTTTTTTTTTCTGGAAGATGTAGGCATCTTTAGGAAATTGATTTTGTAGTGCTGCCTTTAGTATGATCTATGTATAAATAGTGTATGTGGGCCCTTCCTGGGGCACAAGGGGCTAAAGTGAAGCACTATGAAGTTGTTCACAGTCACTGCAGCTTGAGTTTGAATCCTCTCTTCTCCTGCACCTTTGGTCTATACCCTAGTTCTTGCATGCATAAATAAATAAAATCTCAAAACAAAAATGAGTATTATGTTTTGAGAGAAGAGAGTGTTTATATAAGGAGTGTATGAAGAGCTTATATCAAGAAACAAGTGCTGAGCACTGTTTTGTACCAAGCAGAGCCCTGCAAATTTCATTCTTTTATTCTTACAATAATCTTATGATATAGATTATCTCAATGCTTACTTTTATTTTTTCATTTTTTTAAAGATTTATTTATTTATCCATACAGAGATGGGGTACAAGCCAGAGGCTCAGGGGCGGTGAGAGGATCCACTAGAGAGAGAGTGAGGAGCAGAACAGGCCGACTGACAAAGTACGCTGCTGAGGGGAGAAGCAGTGGCCCAGGAGAGGTCTGTCATGCCATGTGGTCACCTCTGGGGCAGGCGGGGATCAAACTCATGCTGAAGTGGCTTTAGCTTCTCAGTGCTGTGCTTTAACCCACTGCGCCACCAGGGAGGGCCTTTTTCATTATTCTTTAATGTTTATACTGCTGCTTTTAAAATTGAAGAGATCAAGTAATGTGGCCAAGGGAATTTTGACTAGACTAGCCAAGTGACTGAGTTGTGATTCACACCCCACAAGCTTGCTGTAGAGTGCATCCTTTATTATATTCTGTTTCATATTTTGTGGCCTATGTACTTATACTTTTCCTCAGAGAAGTTTCTTTTGTACATTTTGAAATAGTTTTTATTTTGAAATTTCATTATATGGGACACAAAGACAGTTGCTTTATATATCAGTATAATATCCCCCTCATGTAAAAAAAAAAGTGCTCCAACTTATAAATCCTCTCCTTGAGAAATGACAGTGATATATTTTATAGTTTCACCCATGTACAGCACCTCAACATTGAGATGAACACCTAGAGTGTGCTTCTGAAGATTAGCAACATTCTAGGGATATTAAAAATATTCTCATTTAGATATCCTATTTCAATGATAATTTTTATTTCTGGGTTTGGCATCAGAAATATATAACAAGCCCTGATTTATCGTGGCTTATTTTATTAAAGACATTGCTAACTTTTCTGATCATGTTTTCTATCCCTATTTTCATTTTCCTATGAAGGTCTTTGTCACGATCGTAAACATCATTTTCACCTTCCTTCAACAGGTCAAGGCTAATTTGTATATGTAACTTCTATTTGTCTTCTGTGTGATTTTTTTTTAATGTTTGAAAAGCTGTTTGTTCAGTCACCCAATTCAGCTTAGTGCACTAGGAAGTTACTGTTTTCTTTTCAGACTCTGGGTGATCTTAGTTCAGTAATCATCGACACTGAGGGTTTCCCTCTGCTCCACATTCTTGGTGCCAACCTGAGCTACCCTACCCCAGCTCTCAGCCTCCCAGCATCCTCCGGTAGCAATGCCTACTTTCGCTGCCAATGTCCCCGTCTAAAACTCAGGAGAACAATTGTCCTGCTCTCCTAGAGCACTGTGAGTGCACTCATCATCAAGTGATTGGAGCGCGCTAGAAACAAAGCGAATAGCGATCTTAGCTCTTTCTGTTTTGTACTAAGTGTCATTAGGATTGCAGTATTATTGAGATAACTGTGGTTTTAAGATGTGGCTTATACTTATAGACATCTTTATTTGCCTTTTTTTCAGCAGCTGCATAAAAACAACACTTAAGTTTGCCAACTTTACCTTATATAATTGCAAACATAAGTGCTGGGAGTTATGAAAAATAGCACTTCTTACAAACTGGTGATGTTTACAGATACACACCAAGGCTTTAGGGAAAAGCACAGACTTCATGAAAACAAACAAACTCTTCATGTTATGAGAACGTTAGCTCCTTGGAGATACTCCTCTTATTCACGTCTGTATACCTGGCTGTGCCTTGCCCCAGAATACTATCCATGACTACCATCAAATGCATTCAGGAAGAGTTATCAAATCTGGGAATTGTAAATACAATCAGGTTCTAATTACGCACAGTGATGGAAAAGAGACAGAAAAGTGATTCGTAACATTTACAGGAATTCAGATTTCATTTCAATAAAACTCACTACTATCAAAGCCAACCGATAAGCCTGACTTAGCTGTTTTCCCGCTTTTAGCTCCCCTAGCAGCACGAGGGAAGTGAAGCTCCACCTTGGCTAGCAGCCAATAACTGATTCGTAGATCTGAAAATATCCACCTTTAAAGTGAAGTTTTCACTGGGCATATCTTAGCAGATGGCACTCCCTAAGCTTGAATTCGGTAATTGGCACCTCTGGTTTAGTTTGTACTTGAACTTCAGACAAGACCATGCTGGAGAATCAAAGCGAGAGGCAGGGCCAATGTGGGAGAGCTGGATGAGAAGGATGCCAGGGTAGGAAGGCTCTGACTCACTGGAATCTTTATTGACCGCTGCGGTGGCCAAGGTGTGAGTCCTTACCTGTGCGCTTAAAAAAACCTTAGAACAAGACCCCAGCACAGGCACACAAAGAAAGGTTAGTAAACTTGAAAGAGCGAGAGAGCAAGATTAATTGGTGTGTGTGTCCTACCGGTAACGAGTCCGAGCTGGGACCCCAGAGCGCGCTGAAGCCAGGTGGAAGCCGAGGCGTACAGGCCCACAGGTGTTTAGCTTATACCAGCCTGCCTGCTCATCGCCACTCTTAGTTGCCGACACTTCTCCCCTTCAGGAAGTCAAGAGTCATGGCAGAGCTGAGGCATGATGGGATTTGCAGTCCTCGGGGAGCTGAGAGGCGAGCCCATTCAGGACAGACTCTCCCCAAACCAGCTGCCAACCAAGTGACTGTTTCTCCCCAGCCCTCAGGCATCTTCACCTCTGGGTGTGTGTTGCTTTGGGCCGGGGAAGGTGCCTAAGACACAGCTGCCTGTCACGGGCTGCAGTTTACATTTGTGATGATCAAACTGTCTCCCACCCCCAAGCCCTGAAATGCCCTAGAAGACAGTTCAGGCCTCAGAACCTGTCAGCATGCTATAGTCTTTCCTTTTCTCTTCTTTTTTTAGCACTTGAATATTTTTCAGTCCAGAATTATGTGCATGTTCTGTATAATTGTAAGATAAAAAGGGGCATTACATAAAATATTTGTCTAATTCT